ACATTCATAAGTCGAGCGGGCCGGATGGTATCCCCCCAATTGTGCTGCGTACTTGTGCTCCTGAGTTGGCTCCGGTCTTAACGCGCCTTTTCCGGTACCTGTACTCGCTCGGCACTGTCCCGAAGTGCTGGAAGACCGCTTTGATACATCCGATCCCTAAAAAAGGCGATCGCTCTGATCCGTCCAACTATCGCCCAATAGCTATAACCTCCTTGTTCTCCAAAATAATGGAAACCATTATTAACAGCCAGCTCTTGAGGTATCTAGAGGGCCACCAGCTGATTAGCGATTCTCAGTACGGCTTCCGTCGTGGTCGCTCGGCTGGTGACCTCCTTGTATACCTTACACATAGATGGGCAGAGGCAATTGGGGAGGCGCTAGCGGTTAGTTTGGACATAGCGAAAGCCTTCGATCGGGTGTGGCACAGAGCACTGCTCTCGAAGCTTCCAGCCTATGGGCTTCCCGAGAAATTACGCAATTGGATCTCCAGCTTTCTGGCCGATCGGAGCATCAAGGTCGTCATCGACGGAGCATGTTCCGACCTAAAACCCGTAAACGCTGGGGTCCCACAAGGCTGTGTTCTATCCCCGACCCTATTTCTTCTGCATATCAATGATATGTTGAAACTTAGCAACATTCATTGCTATGCGGATGACAGTACTGGGGATACTTTTTACACTGGCCGGGCAGGTATTTCTCGGGCAGTTGTTGATGAGTACCGGAACAAACTTGTGTCTGAAGTTGAAACTCTACTTCGTGGAGTCTCAGATTGGGGCAGACAAAACCTAGTCCAATTTAACCCCAAGAAGACACAAGTTTGCGCGTTTTCCGCTAAAAAAACACCCTTTGTCGCTACTCCTCTTTTCGAAAACACTCTTCTTAAAGCCACAGCCAGCATTGGAATACTTGGCGTTGACATATCGAGCGACGTTCAGTTTCGCGGTCACTTGGAGGGAAAGGCTAAATTAGCCTCCAAAAAGCTTGGTGTGCTCAGCAAGGCGAGACGGTACTTCACTCCGGGCCACCGCATGCAACTATATAAAGCGCAAATTCGGCCCCACATGGAGTACTGCTCTCACCTCTGGGCGGGGGCTCCCCAGTACCAGCTCCTTCCACTTGACCGTATACAACGCAGAGCGGTTCGAATCGTTGACGACCAATCCCTCTCCGAGCGGCTTGATCCTTTGGCGTTGCGTAGAGATGTGGGGTCACTCTGCATCTTCTACCGCATTTACCATGGAGAGTGTTCAGAGGAGTTGTTCGGATTAATACCTGCAGCTGAGTTTCATCATCGGACGTCGAGGCAGAATACGAAATTCCACCCGTATCACCTCGACGTCCGACGTTCCACAACTGAGCGTTTCTCAAGGCAGTTTTTGCCGCGCACCACCACTATGTGGAACCAGCTGCCCACTGAAGTATTCCCGAACCAATTCGACTTAGGGTCCTTCAAGAAAAGAGCGTACCAATTTTTAAAAGGCCGGCAACGCACTCGCGAGCCCTCTGGCATTGAGAGTGTCCATGGGCGGCGGTATCACTTAACATCAGGTGAGCCTCCTGCCCGTTTGCCCCCGTTCTTAAAAAAAAAAAAAAAAAAAAAATATTTATTTTAAAAGTATATTTCATCGTATTTATTTATTATATTTTAAGTAAACATAAATGTTACAAAAAAAAAGTGTTTGTGTGTCAGCTACGACGCACGATTGGAGTTAACTCCTTACGAACGATAAAATGGCGATAATGTTCTGTGGCTGTCGACCATATTTTCATACTAAAGGTGGTAAGAATATATGTTTTTATAATATAAATGTTTGTAGTAGTAATAAAACGTACCTACATCATCTATGCCCAAATAGGATTTTCTTTCTGTGACCAAAGTTACCTTTATAGTAAGAGAAGAATAAGAATGAACAATCTTTTTAGTTTTAATTTCACTGACCATTACTATTGACAAAACTCTATGGCACGCCAGACAATCTACTTTTTTTTTTACACCTGTCAACACTGACAATGTTGTAACGTGGCTGTCAAAACGTGAATTCAAAATAGAAAAGTCTGTGTAATGTATTCCATCTCATTCTTTTACACGTTCAATCCATTTGTCTCTTTCTACATAACGCCTCAACTTTTCGTGTAACACATAACGCCTCAACTTTTCGTGTTACACTTGATTTTACTCCTCATAAAATTTCCGTACCGGGCCTTATAACTCAAATCGTTTCTTAAGGAGTAAACTCCAAAAATATTAAAAATACTATGCTAAGCATTCAATAAGATTACCAGATTTTTTTTGTAAAGCATAAAATATAAAAAAATATCAGCAATACAGCGAATTAGTTTCAAGAAGAAGTTTCATATTATTTATTGCTAAAGGTCGCGTCACTGTAAGGTTCCCGCTGCCCTGCTAATCATATATCTCCAATTATGTTCGGTCAGTAGGTTCTTCAGCTCAGTTGTTATGAGGAGCCCGTGGGTATCGAGATTTGGTCACACCAGCTTGGGGCCTGACCGCGGATTTTGCCTGCCACCTTGCCGATGTCAACCAGCCGATGATGATCCAGTGTTATTTTAAATAGTTAAATAGGAAATTCGTTTTGTAGGCGTTTAATCTATTTTTATCAAACTTAATAGTGAAAGAACTAATATATGATTAAGTTGTAATCTAAGCCTAGTGATTTAAAAAAAGTTGAAGAAATTGTTGAAACATTGAAGAGAATTTATGTTTCGCATAAATAAAGTCACAAGCATCAATTGCGATTGAGCCTAGAAAATGACAAATATTTTTCTTTGTAACACAGGCACGCGCTTTTCCTAAAAAATATGGCATTCTATATAGTTATCAAGTTATTTAAGTAAACTGTCTTTCCGGGTTCCGGCCTTTCAAAGTATCGTGTGTTCCCTTCATATAGTAACTAGACACTGTACCATAATGGAGTGCTTTTATCGTGTTATACAGATGTTAAGATATAGTTGAAATTAGTATTACTCAAAGGCTATTTAATTACATTAGCATTACAGACTTTGCTAACGATATTTATTTTAGTCTATTGCCAGACACTGACTTAAGGTCCCTTCAAAAGAAGAAGAAACTAACACTTGACGGATAGCTAAAGAAATCCCATCATGTTCACCCTAAAATGTTCAAATAATAAATTCAAAATACTTTTTATGAATTGATTAAAAGGTGTATCTATAGCTCTAATAGTATTAAATGACATAACCATGGCAACACGAACTAAATAACGTAAACTACATAACGTAAAATTAGTCACTGTGACCGTTGAAAAACGTATTAATAATTGGCGAATAACTAAAAATAGCATTAGTATGAATCTATCTTTGTGCCCCGAATAATTATACGGTTTATATGTATGTATGTACGGCTCTAATAGTATTAAATGACATAACCATGGCAACACAAACTGAAATAACGTAAATTTAGACACTGTGACCGTTGAAAACGTATTAATAATTGGCGAATAACTAAAAATAGCATTAGTATGAATCTATCTTTGTGCCCCGAATAATTATACGGCGTAAGTTAAGCGTTGAACAAACTTGGTTTGTTGAAACCGATGGACGGAGATAGTCCGGTCCAGATGTTTCCTTAATGACCACGACGCTACCGACCCAAGAGAAAATGCGTTTAGTGGGGTTTTGCAAACTTAGCATTATTTTCTATCATTTCGTCCATAAATAAAGGCGCTGTAATGTTTAGATTTTTTGTATCCTACGTTGCTCCATTAAGCTTTTTTTAAATAAATGAGAGCTTAATTGCAAAACGTTTAAGATTGCTGCATCACAATGTAATAAATTAATAATGCTTGACTCATAAGCAATTAGCCTGTTACAATTTTTAATCTTCCTGTTAATCTGACTTTAAGTAAAAGGTATATCCCCTTATCATAGCCCGTTAATAGTTTGGATACATATTCATTTGTATATAAAAACTCCTACTTCATTACTTTAGATCAAATTCGCGAAGAAACAAAGAATAATATTGTATGAAAAGTTGTAAGCTAACGGATGTCACACAACTTTATAAAAGGTAAATAATTAAATTAAATGTTAATATTATAAATGTTTATATAGGTTTTATTGTTACTATATATAAAATACGTCTTATCTATTTAAATGTTTAAGCATTTTTTCAAACTACTAATTAATACTTTTTTATCATTACGTAGCACCGTAGCGTTACGCAGGCGTTACGAGTCAGTATTCGTAACCAATATATTATCTACATCGATCGATGCTACGGAAGTTACTACAATTATAACTGAGATTGTGTATTAGCTTGCAGGACTTTTTATATGTTTAAAAATGTTTGGGAGAAATTTCATAAATTTAACGCGTTGAATCTGGAAAAGAGATGTGTTAAATGTTGTGTACAAAAACACTGACGTATGTAGCATGATCAAAGTGTATCTAACCTCACCTACTCAAACTCAGCCTAATCAACGGAATATAGAAAGAAAAAGTATTTTCATAAAATACTACATAAATCCCACAAGCATCCAATGAAGAAGTTATAAACATTTTAAACAGTGTTAAGAGAAAACAGCGTTAACACGAAATAGCTATTAAAAGGAACATGTTTTAGAACTCAAGTTTGGCCATGACTAATGATACAACTCTTCAAACATCATACAAATTAGGGAGGCGTTTAGGGAGCACGTACTTACTTAAAGTGTAAATAGTACGGTTCCTGGGTCAGGAAATAAAGAAAAACAGGTTCTTTAAATAATTTACACCACACAACTATTAATGATTAATGAATGCTATGCTAATTAATGAAGAGACGGCCTGCATCTGGCTATATGTAACTCCCATGATTTAGGTAATCACTACTCTTATAAAACTAGAGAAAGCTGTGTGAGCAAAATGTACAGGCTTGGCATGTACAGTAACTTTGACTGTACTTTATATAATTGTGTAAAAAGCTTCATAAACCGAAATTGGTAAATCAAAGAAAAAACATGTTTAAGCAAACTTAATCATCAATCAGTATCAGACTCCATTTTGTTTAATATATGTGCAATTCCGGTCTCGCGTATGATAACGCAAATCAACACGACACCAGTATCTGATATTTGGGACAGGTTATAAGGTGGATCAAACGCAAATAGGGGATAGATGAGGTCATCAGCTGCAAAAAATTGTTCTACGGGAGGTCTCTCGTAATTCTTATTAAAATTCGAAAAAATCTACACCTGTATATTTTTCATAATATCTACTAGATTGGTACTGATGAGTCCTTGCGTAAGACATACTATTTATAGTAGTTTATTGAGTGTATTGAAGATAATATTAAGTTATACGATATAAAAATTTCTCAAATCATAACTTTTTGTTTACGTCGGACCCCACTGTGAAAAAAAAATACTCTACCGAAAAGTGAGCCTGTATTACAAGTTTTGGCGCATTTCATAAGGATTTAAAAAAGGTATTACACATGGCCATGAGTTGCTCTAATTTCTTTCTAAAAATCAATTTTCTTATAAAAACGCAAAATAAATTATAACTCTGTAGGGGTTGAGCTTAGGGACCTCCCGTAGAACAATTTTTTTCAGCTATCCCCTAGTTGCGTTTGATCCACGACTTTTTGACCACCCTGTATATACAAATAGTAATGTCTAAGAGTGAAACCTTTTAACAATTATGTATGTACATTGTACGTGTAATATCTGTAAGCATTTACTTTTGTAAATATCAACTCACCAAGAGCAAAATCACAGGCTGGACCAAAGAACACATGCGCGCAGTCATTGTAGGCATCTATAGCGGATATGACCGCGTAGGCAGCATCACAATCTGTGACGTCATACGTCGTCCATTCAAAACTGAGCCAAGGTGGGAATGCATTTCGAATGGCCTGCGATTGAACTGCAAGATCAAGGACCGGCTCCACCTGAAATAATACATTGCTACAGTGCTAATTTCTACTGTCAACATTTTTATTGTGAACTGTCTGGTTCGTTAGAGCCTGGGCTTTTAAAGATTCCTACGGTAAGGGGAACATCTCGTATAAAACTAATAAAATACAAATATCTCTCGAAATGGACAATCATATGTTATTATAATACTGATAAGATTTAATTAGTTCAAGAATTTTGTGTTTATATTTATCTGTAAAGTAACACAAAAATATAAATCAATTTGTTAAACATAATAATAACAAATTGATTTATATACAATAGTGGCATATCTATAATATGTTGACACAATAAGCGAAAACAACGTAATATTACAAAAAAAAGGTAACATAAATAATGAGAAAAGAGAGGAAATTCAAACTAAATTACAAAACACAAATAAATAAAATTATTTAATTTATTTTAGATAACTTGAATTCATTATATCAAATTTTGTGTACATATGGTTAATTATAGGTATGGAATTTATATCGATGAAAATTCAGTGCTGGTACTGTGTTTCTTTAATAATAAAAGGAATCGATCGCTATATAAATTACAGAGTATTACAGAGGCCGATGTAAAGCCATTAGATACTTTTATGAAGCTATCAAATTATCTAATTTCGTATACAATATTATACGCAAATTATTAACTAATGGCTTAAGATTTATTCTCGCGAAAATTATTCAACCCTCATGGGTTAAAGAGTTCTCAACACATTCTTGAAACTTGTTGAAGATGATGTGCTAAAATATTTATTTACACAAAACTTACCCATTCCCAAGGCGTCAATAAGTTTTCTATTCAAGTATTTGAGTCATATTCTTATACAATATTTATTTCTGAACTATTGTATTCATTTAGTAATGAAATTATAAATTAAATCAAATTTCTTTAAGGCGAGAGAGTCTGCCCAATTATATAAAATGTAATAACTTGTGTTTTATGTTAGTTAATGTTTTATTTAAATATGTCGTACACGCAAACCAAAGTCAATATTGAATGAATACAACATTAATAGTAATGAAATGATATATAAATGATAATGAAAATGATTTTATTTTAGTTTATTTTCAATTATAATATACTATATGATATAGATAGGTGAACTGAAACTGATGATAAATACCATAGATTGCTATTAAAGTTTTTAAATTTTAGAACGTAAAAATCATAATAATACAACGAAAATCTAGTCGTATGAAAAAACATTGGTTATGCTATACGTTTGGTTATTTGAGAATAATTTATCTCTTCAGATTCGATCACAAAGCTTTCACAAACCAGTGAACTCATTAAGCTTTAACGAATTATAATTTAATTCCAGATTAAATATTTCAACGTCTACATTATAACAACAAAATTCCATTGGAATTTATATTAACATAGTTTCACGATTAATATAACATAATTTTTAACACATTGACTAAACATTTTTAATTTTACTAACTATTGATTTTAGTAAGCAGTAATAGCCTCTTTGAAATCGTAAATTTGATCCACATTTTTATGAGCACAATGAATACTTATTTATTAAAATAACAAAAATAAGTTAGAGAAAGTTCGACTTCCATGACAATAATGGACACACACCACATTTCAATTGAATGACAAGAAATATAAGTAGTGTTGTTAAATTTATAAAGGTTTCAATACTTTCGTTACATTTGAAGGCACATTTGGAATGCACAAAGAAAAATATGCGACACAAGGCTTTATATTTTTAAGACATATTTTCTCAGCTTAAAAAAATCTATGATAGTACCAAACTTTTTATCATTCCGTCGATTAGAAGCTACTATTTATTACATAGAACTATCAGATTCAGTGAGGTTTTCAGATATTATAATAGTTCGTAATAAATTTTTAATTGTTAGTCAAATGTGACTCCCAACCAATAAGTTTTATTTGGACAAGATAAAAAGTTATTTGTAAACCCTGCGACACATCTGCCTTGCGATTCTGTAACTCACTTTTCGGAGTCACACAGCGGTTTTCGCAGCGGCGGTCGCGCTCAAATCAGTCGTAAAGCAGTCATTTTGCGATTTGCCATTCTGATAAACAGTAAACTACAAGCTCCTTCCTTATCATAATGCTAAATCATAAAATGACTGCTTCACGACTGATTTGAGCGCGACCGCCGCTGTGAAAACTGCTGTGTGAGTTCGAAAAGTGAGTTACAGAATCGCAAGGCAGGTCCATATGTAATTTCACTTCACATGAAATTTGGTAGCCTCTCTTTGAGTTTTATTTTTCTTTATCTATCTCATGGCTCTTTGACTCAAAAGATGTGTATCCTGTACCTCGACATGGAATGTTAGATTTTCTATAATCGTAGTATGGTTTTACAATAAATTAGGATTTTTTTTAAATTAAAATAGTATTCGTATTTTTATTGTGTGTAGCGTGAAGTAAATAGCTCATAGAATGTGTGATACAAAGCCAATGCTACCAAGGTAAGAACCAACCAACTAATACCATACATAGGCTGTCTCGCTCTTACAACTTTATTACTAACATCGATGAAAATATTGATGTGTTTTACAAGTCTGCCAAGTTACCGTAACCTTGTGTATCACGCTCTTAATGAGGTTTAAGTTTTCATTTAGTTTAGGTTATTATTGTTATTTTTATTTTGTTTTATATCGTTTTAGTTTTAGTTATTATTCATTTTTAATTTTTAGTTTTAATATTATTATTTTTTAATGTGTGTGTTAAATTAAGTGACGTCATATTTTCTTGTATTTTTTAGGCACACACATTGTTTTAGGACGTATAAATAAACAAATAAAATAAATACCACGGACAATATTAACTTACCACGGGTAAGGAAGCATAGAATGTGGTGTTCTTTGGCAAGAGAAGCGCCGCTCGTATTTTACATTGTCCATTCTCATCGCAAACGTTCTCACAAGCCCTGGGCTTGAGTTCCTCTCCTCTACAATTTTGTGAAATGACACCACCCACTATCGATAACAGCACTAGCACAGCCCGCCAATTCATTTTAACGATAAAACTGATCACATCACTATTTTAACATTATCACTACATCTTAGTTCACTTTGTCACCATCTGAAACAAAGAAATATACTTTAGATATAAAAGACTTGTTGTTCTATAAAAACTGATTCCCCCCCCGCGTCAAACAAATATTTGTTTTGCGGGGATCAGTTTTGACATGATAAATCTTTACTTCATTTTAACTTAAGTCAGTTGACAATGCAATTTTATTTATTTATTTCATTATTTATGAACCCTTCGTTGCATACAAAAATATAATGCAATTGACATAATTAAATGAAAAGGAGGGCAACTGGTGGCCTCATCGCTTTCGAGCAATCTCTTCCAGGCTACCACTGTGAGAAAAAAAATTAAATTATATAAAGTAAGCTAGAAGTGCAAAAATACATAATTTTATGGTTTTATATGGTGGTCTTTAAAATGTATATTTATTATATTAAAACTAGGTCTACAGTTAAATTATTTAATTGGATTTTTACAATAGTATGAAATAGTAGTATACAATAGTATTCAATAAAAGATTTTGAAAATACACTTTTACCGAATAAATAAATGTTTATTTCAAAATATTGTTATAGCTAGTATATTTAAAAGGCTTCGTCCAATACAAAAATGTTTATACAATAAAATTTTAAATGTTTTTAAATTATTTTTGTCTAATACTTATTACATAAAATATTAGACTTTTTATTTAAGAAGTATTTGTCTGTAGTATATATTTTTGTAGACAAAAATTAAAATACTTTTTTCTATTTTTCCAAAAACAGGACGGTTATCCTAATACAATCTGTACTTTAAGATCGTATATCGTAAGATTGGTCGCTATTAGTATGCAAACTTAATCCATACCCCTGTTTGAGGTAAAACTATTTCAGCCCGAGTACCTGAATCTTATTTAAGTTAGGGTTTAATTTTGTGATTTGTTGACGACAACTTCGCTTAGTGTAGCTTCCATTGTGCCGTATACTTATAACGGTCCATTATTAGACATGACTTTGCTATGTTATATATTGAAGGATATTATTATATGATGGTGAATTTCGTTACTTAGAATTCATTTACGTAGAGGCGGAAATACGAAATAACTACATATACCATCGAACCATTTCTTTCCACAGTATAAAGAGTTACGGCTACCAGATAGTTTAAAAAAAATCGATAATCTAATCGGCTTATCTGAAGTTATCGAATTGGAGATTGAAATAGGAGCATTTCGTCACTTTGACAAATCGATACGGTAAAAATAGAACAACGACTCGATAAAATGACAATTGAAATAAAAAAGTTTATCTCGCATACAATACTTTCTTTGGTGTTACATTACATTTAATGGTGTTAGACCACATAGAGTATATCATCATGACTGCCTCTATTCATTTGATACTCTAGAAGTCAGCACAACAAACATCTACTGGAAATCATTCCTTGTACTTGTACTAGACTAAATATCTTCTCATGAAGTCAATTTTGGGCATAAGTATTATAAGTGTTTATTCGTTATTATAGAAAGAGAATTTAAACAGACAGATGGCTCATCTGATATTAAGTGATACCATAGACACAATACCAGGAGGCTCTAATTGGTACGAACTTTTCTTGAAGAACCCAAAGTTCGATTGGTTGGGAAACATTTCGACAGGCAGCTGGTTCCACATAGTGGTGGTGCGTAGCATTCAATATATATCTATCTAGATAAGACTTTTTATATAATATAATTAGATTAAAAAAACTTTGACTATGTAATAATAACAATAAAAACAAAAAAGTCGATAAATAACCACTTTAGCCGTAACGCATTTTAAAAAACCCTACCGAACTATGTACTCTTTTATGTTACATAATAATAATAATAACAGCCCGTTTAATTTAAAATCATTACAAAAAATAATACAGCTTATATTTTTTACATATAATTTTTTTCCTTGTTATTCTATATCCTAGCTACTTCCAGTACCATCGATCGGAACCCCTTTTCGGTAAAGGCCTACTCCAGCTTTTTCCAACTAACTCTGTCCATGGCATTATTTCTCCATTCGCTTCCTGCTACCGCTTTTATTTCTTCTATCCATCTATTTTTGGGGCGCCCACTTCTCCTTTTTTCCCTTGGTCCTTTCTATATTCCATGTTGTCTTTTATAGTCCACCTGTTATCTGTTTATATTGCTATATGCCTCGCCTATTGCCACTTCTGTTTTAGGGCATAATGTATATTATGTGTATTATGTTGCATACAATAACTTAATGTACTTTATCTAGATTCAATTTTATTCAGATTCGTTCAAAATGATAATTAGTATAGTATAAATATATTTAAGGTAAAAGATAATAAATAATATTTGGGTCGTCTTCTTTATATTTCTCTGTTACGTAGGCATGTTTAATGTAGCCCATACAGTGATTCCAAAAATAACGCTTCTATATAATGATTATTTTTATTGCTTTGAGGTTACTTCTAGGGTGTCGATTGAGTGAGAACTTCCACTTGCTTACCGTTGAAATGAGGCATCAATAATTGAATTAATTTTTTATGATTCAACTTGTAGGTTTGCACTAAACGAACTTTTTCCTTTGTGTCATAAAAAGTGTATATTATAAGATCCAATATTCACAAGTATTATGTTGCATTACATCTAATGATTGTATTAGATATATATATGGAGCTCGTGTACGCGGCTTGTAATTATCTGCTTTCACTTAAAAAAGTGACAATTAACCCTTTAGATTTTTTTAAAGAGCTGTGCATGTATACAATATATAAGCCATATTTTGCTAATTCAATCGTGTTAATTGGCTTTGCGACGAATCAGTTAAGACCAAATATACCTACATTTTTTTATTGAAAACAAATATTTTCATTAAATCTATTAATAGATTGATTATATTGATCATTTTGTGATTTACGATAATGATATTATTAGTACGAGTGTAAAACACTTAGAGATTATATATCAAGGTGTATTGGCGAGCAATAAAATATAAATGAGTTATGTGTAATGAAATGATTATAACTTGTTATCTAGCACATGCTGATCACTATTTCAATATATTTTTAGACTCATAAATTATTATAATCGAATTAAAAAAAGATACTAATATAATAAACTAACGCAATTGTAAATTAATTCCTACGCATAAATTGGAACGGGTGTCAGACACGACCAAAATATCACGAGAGCAGGCGTTTATTTGAGGCTTCGGGGATATCAAACACAAAGACACTAGTCCAAACTTAGGCGTACCCCGTATCATTGATAGTTTTCAATGGTGTCTACCATAATAGTAATTAGAGGATTAATTCTGCTCACAGTGCATCAGGATCGATAAACGTTTATTTTCAAAACCTTGACTACATTACGCACATGTAAGCAATGAACGATATCTGGAATAATGTGTTATTTTGATTCTTTTATTACTTTAGTGGGTGATTAATTATTTTTATAGCGCATCTATAATGGAGGCTCAAATGTTTATTTCCACGAGGAAGCAATTACTTTAAGTAGGAAAGCAGAGAAGTTTTTGAAACGTGCTGAAACGATACCTCTATGGTGATCTTTTATAATTTTCCTAGTGGGAGTGCCATGCTGTTGCCTTCGGGCTTCAGCCAAATGGGCAGGCACGACCGGGGCAGTACCACTGTCTCTTAGAAAACCGGCGTGAAGTGAGGCAATAGGTTCGCCTTATTGTACTCGCGTTTCGTACGGTGAGGGAGACTCCCGGAGCCCATCCCCCCCATATGAAATATGAAGGTGCAGAACAAACAGAATCTACCCCAGGGGGGTACCACACGCGAACGCGGTGGAGAATCCCCCTCTGAGCGTCCAACACCGGGACACTCAGCACCCGGTGGTGGACGCACAGGCTGCCCTTCGTATTCTGGGGGGCAATTCTGCGCTCATCAAAAACAGTTATCGTTCTCGGGGCAAACGGAGCAATTCAACAAAGGCACCCCCGTCCACGCTCGCCGTGGACTTCACAAATGTTAGGGGCTCAATTCCAATATCAACGCAGTCCACTACCATTTAGAGACTGCGAAGCCGGCCTTGCTCCTTCTTACCGAGACTCAGATTTCCTCCCCGGCTGATACTTCCTACCTCTCCTACCCGGGGTACAAATTGGAACATTCATTTGTGCCGCGGGCGGGAGTTTGCGTGTACGTCAGAGAGGATATCTGTTCTCGTCGCCTCGGGACGCTTGAAGGAAGGGACCTATCTAACCTCTGGCTGCGCGTTGACTGCGATGACCATCCGCGATTCTACGCATGCCTGTATAGGTCCCATAGCGGAAATACCGAAACTGACCGACTCATTGAGCACATCCAAATGGCTACAGATTCCCTGCTCGAAAGGGTTCCTACCGCTGAAATCGTGATACTTGGCGATTTTAACGCCCACCATGCCGATTGGCTCGGCTCTGAAACCACCGATCACGCGGGAAGATCCTTTCACGACTTTGCTTTAGCCTACGACCTGACACAAATGGTCCCTGCGATTACGCGAATACCAGATGTGGATGGTCATAAACCCTCTTTGTTGGACCTTCTGCTGACTTCACATCCGGAGAACTATCAAGTCTCTGTTGACCCGCCATTGGGTTCATCGGATCATTGTGTGGTCCGGAGTACTGTGCCATCTACGCGCCCTTCACGGCCCCGCTTTATGGGTTGTCGCCGTATTTGGCACTATAGGTCAGCAGATTGGGACGGGATGCGGTCTTTCTTTGCGTCCTACCCTTGGGGGCCTATGTGCTTTTCGCCGGAAGCTCCAGATTCCGTTGCCGCCTCTGTCGCCGAAGTGGTTCTGCAGGGCATGGAACTCTTTATTCCATTTTCTGCGGTGCCGATCGGTGGCAAGTCTCAGCCCTGGTTTAAATGTTCTTGCAAGGCGGCCTCGCGTCGAAAGCGAGAATGCTTTAAGGCATGGGCGGAAGCGGCGAAATCTCGTGATGCCAATACCAGCGAACTTAAAACAGCATATAACTCAGCCT